GTTTTCTCCTGCCCCAGACTTCCAATGGAATTCCTCCTAGAGAATGTGGTACCCACAAGACAGATACTAGCTTCTCATTCCCTGGCAGAAAGTTGAAATTTCAAAACCCATTTGGTGTGGCCACTATGGCAAAGCATGTACAGGAGCCCTTAGAGTAATTTTCAAAAGTCACTGGGAATTGAGAGGATCTGTAAATACAGACTGGTGTCTGCTTCCTACCAGGAGAGATCTGAATGTAGGAGGTGAGGGAATGGCTAATGCCCTCCACAATAGTCAGGGCAAATGCAGAGAGAGAGAAAGAGAAAGTCCCTATGTTGAAATCCTAACCCCAAAGGTGATGAGTAGAGCAGGTGAGAGCTCTGGGAAGTGATTAGATCAAGAGGACAGAGCAAGTTTCAGGTCATGTTTTAGTAGGGCAATGGATAAATAGATTGACCAAGGAGATAACTGGAACACAAACTCCATGCATCTTGATGGCATCCCTAAGCAGGAATACCTTTCAGGAAGAGGAAGAGGCTGCATGGGGTTTACTGCTAGAAGATGGAGGACAGGAGCTGATAAAGGATCCCAGAAGGGGTCAAGCAGTGAACCTATCCAAGGAACCCCAACTGTGTCCCACTGAAAATCCAGTATTCGGACAGCAGCCCATCATGGCAGAAACGGTGGCCAGCAGGAGTCACCCAGGACAACCACACCAAACACAAATTGAGAATAAAACAACCTGGAAACAGGAGCCAGATGCAGATAGTGAAAGCATAAACCATGACTCCTTCTTGTCCAGATCCCAAGCTATCAGTCTTCAGGCCTGGGTTGTGAGAATGCAAGATGGAAATTACTGACTTAGCTTGGACTGACACACAAATGAGATGTTCTTACAATTGAAAGTGAGCAGAAATCTGTCATCAAGGAGAGGGAAACGAGAAAAATGTAACAGAGGATGTTTAAAGTCAGTGACAGAAGAAAAATAACCCCATTTCCTGTTTTTGCTTCCATCATCTTAGGATCATTCAGTAAATCTTCTACATAAGCCAAAACAAAACGCTCTACAAATTCTTACCAGCCCATTCTTCCCTTTATAATACAAAAATTGAATGTAACCAATTTCCCTTTTTCTATTTTCTCAATATCAATTGGTCATTCGAAGGCAGCTTTTCTCAAGACCAGGTTTTTAGGTATCCATATACTCTCATTTACAGGTAGCAGCAGAATCAACTACAGAGTATTTAAGCAAATATAAACTTTCATCATTTTGCAGAGCTAAAAGAGAGGCCGCTCCAGGATTAGTTAATTCAATGGTTCAATGACATCATAATCTTCAGAGTCCAAGATCATCTTGGCTTTCCCTCATAGTCAAAAAATGGCTGCTGAATCTCTGCTAACACACTCACTCAACAATGTCCAGAGATGCAAATACAAATGTGCTTTTTCTTTGGCTCTTCTTTTGAGATTAAAGAAAATGTGTGCAGATACATGTTGGCTGACCAACTTTAATTGTTACTGGCCAGAACTGGGTCATATGCCATTCTTAAACCATTCACTGGAAAGGAGGGGGAAAAAAAACTATAGTGATTAGCTTGGATCTAACAAGATTTATTCCTGGGAACCAGAATGGACTGAAGCCCATGGGCATCTGATACATGAATAAACTGCTGTTCTCAAAAGGGAGAGAAGATGGGATCTGCTGATGGGCAACAAACAACTTCGTAAAGTGAAGAGGGCTATTTGTCTTTCCAACTCAAAAGAGATGCTGTCAACTGAGTACAGTGGCACACACCTGTAACCCCAGTGGATCTGGAGGCTGAGGCAGGAGGATCGTGAGTTCAAAGCCAGCCTCAGCAAAAGTGAGGTGTTAAGCAACTTAGTGAGATCCTGTCCTAACAAAATATAAAATAGGGCTGGGATGGCTCAGTGGTCAAATGTCCCTGAGTTCAATTCCTGCTACCCCTGGGGGAAAAAATAAAATAAAAAACAATGAGATTCTGTCCAGGTTAGATCTCTAGAAGGTTCTGAGACAGGATTTACTGTAGGGGTGCAGTGAGGGGGAGCCAGGAGAGCAGGATGGGGCAGGGAAATTTGTTAAGCAAGAAAGAGGCCATCTCAGCCAGACTTTACCTTCACTCTGATTCCACAGAGAGCTCTGAAATATGAATCAGGGCACAAAATTGACTCCTACCCTGAGGCAAAGAGGCTGGCATTTGGTACCCCTGCTTTTTGTCTCTCATCTGGACTTGCTGGAAGAATACAGACTCCAAGGCAAGGTGACTCCCTTCGATGGGGACAATGCTCTGGAGAAAGGGGCAGCTGTGGGTCATTAGCAGCCACCACTCACAACAGCTGGGCATGTGAGCTCTGGTCCAGCAGAGGGCATCTGAGCAGGGCACTATCAGTGTCTACTATGGATGCTGTTATGGAAATAAGTGAGGACCAAGAAACTCTTACCAGGCCTTCAGAACGGCACTCTCCCCAAAAGCCTGGCATGCAGGGCTCCTCTGGCAGGACCATTACAAAAAGTGTGGTCACCCCAGGCTCTGGGAAAACACCTGTTCATCCTCTCGAGAAGCTCAACCTTCTTGTATGTTCCAAAACTCAGCTCCCAGTGGTACAGCCTGAGTTCCAGGTACTGCTTTCAAAGATTTTTTCCAGACATGGAACCCAAAACAAAAAGCATTCATGATCCTATCTGCCCAGCTCCACCCTCTGCCCACCCATCTAAAGGTGCTACAGGCCATACCATCTGACTAACAAGTTTCTGCAACTGCTGGTCTGGTTCTCTTGGTGGGTCTGAGATGTTTCATTCCTGAGTGAACAAAGCAATTGAACCTGGAGAATTATCTGCTTTTCTTTGCTGAAAACTGGCTAACATGAGGTTAAGACGGATCACCCAGAGCCTGTGGTCCAGTCCCAGCCTACAGCATATCATTCAACCATCACACTTTTAACCAACTGTCCAATGCCAACACTCTGACAGAAAAACGTTAAGCAACTCTGCCACTTTCAAATGTCACTCCAGATTTCCTCTGAGAGGGAAAAAAAAAAAAAAAGCCAAGCTACCATAATTCCTCTTTTTCACTAGAAATGGAAAGACATGAGAAGATACCGAGACAATGAGCAAGTCTTTCCAAATAATCTATTTTAAAAATTATGGTTGGAATTGCAATGTACAGATTAATTTCCTCTTAAAACATAGCTGGAGTTTGAACATAGGAAGAAAGAAGGCCTGAACAAATCAATTTTGGCAGAAGCTAAAACATCTGAAAACAACTCAATTTTTCTGGCTGCCATCTACAACAGGAAATGGAAAGAATTCTAAAGCCTACCAACAATTAATATCAGGGAAGTCAGTGCTTCTATTAAGCAAGCACTTGAAACAAGAATATTATTTTTTTTCTTGCTTGTTCTCTTCCTGCATTTATATCTTATTCCCTCTATCAGAAGGTCTCTTTCAGAAAGATTGAATTCAAGTTCATTCTTGTAGGTCCATTTCTGCCTCCATGCCTTGCCCACAGAAGGTGTTCCACCAATATCTGTGGACTTTATGAGTAAATAAAATCAGCCGAATTTTAGTTAAACCATTTTATGATCTGCTACCACCATCATTAACAGTACAACTTATCACTTACCCAACTAAGAAAAATATTGGAACGAGTCTTCTTAACACTTTAACACCTTGTGTATAAATGACTTGCCAAAAATAAGAAAAACTGCAAAGCCCTTCAGAAGCAAAAGTGTTCCCTGGTGCACTTCAAAAAGCTACAAATAATTCCGAGGGTTAAGAGAAATTCATGACATAAGGATGCCCTCTGCTGGGAGTTTTTTCCACTAAGTGTGAAAGACAAATTTTATGCACTTAACTACCCATCATATTTCTCACCCAAAAAAAAGAATTATATTCTGATTTTTTTTTCCTTGCGTTTCAATGGACAAAGGAAAACTGCTCACTTCCTGGTCCAATCGGAACTTAGTAATGGTGGAAGTAGCCAAAATCATTGAATTTTAAATTCTAGATCGTCCCTGTTTGTTTTCCCCTCTCCTCCCCACCTTCCTTCTCTGTTTCCTTATTCTAGTTGAATAATTTGTTATCTCCTGAACAAATGTTGGTAGGAGCCTTCCTTTGGAGGAAGTTCTTCACAGTCCCCACCAATCTGCAAGACTGCTCAGAAATTCTCTCCTCCTATTAAATCAAGGCCAGTGGAAGAAGGATTAAAACCATCATCTCAACACCTGTAACTTTAATCAACAGCGGCAGGGTTGGGAGCTGCATCAGTGGTGGGGTGGGACATGGAACCTATGGCTGGTGTGGATGATTTCTCATTTAGAAATAAATTCTGAGGTTTATCAAAAATCTCCTGTCAGACTTTGAGATTTGGATTGGAGGGAAAAAAAACTGGAGAATGGTCAGCCAGTCCTCAGGATGAGAACAGTGTCTCTAAGGCACTCTTGTAGCAAAAAGGGGGTTTCTATGCAGGAGGTCAAGGGTATGCTTTCTCTTCCACTACTGATGATCCTACTTCATCCTCTTCTTCCTGCTTTAGTCCAGTTCTTTGGGAAATGGGACCCTAGAGTTGCCTGCAAATCTCACAGAGAAGGTATTCCACCTTAGCATTTAAAGGCTGCTGTGTTCTCCTAGGAGGGAAGGTCTTGCAAACAGAACAAGGCAGCTTCACGTCAGGGGTCTGCGCTGTGGTTCTCACACTGTGACATACAGGAGAATCTCCCGAAGAGCTGATAAAGAACACAGAGGCCCTGGCCCTTTGAAGTGGAAGAGGACTGGCCTTTGTAAGTCTACCAAGTTTCCCCGAATGACCCTGGTACACCCCAAATACCATTTACATCAATCTCCTTTAGCAATGGCTTTGCTGAAATATTAGGATTCTCTGGAGGTGCAGAAATATATACTTATATATATCATATATTTTTACATATACAATTTATATATATTCTCTGTATAACTGCATACGTAGAATCTATATGTAATTATGAAAGGGTCCCACAATGGCCACCTGCAAACTGAAGAGCCACAGAAACCAGCAGCTGCTCAGTCCAAGAAGCTGGATCCTCAGAACACGAGGGACCAACGAGGCAAGGTGAGACCCAAGGCCTGGAAGAGCCCTCCAGAGGCACTGGCGGGAGTCCAACTCCAACAGCTTCTTCCCGGAGTGACGCCGCAAAATATCCATCCGCTCAGCTGGAAGGACGCAGCTACTCGCACGGACAGGCTTTCTCCTTCCGCTCCATCCGGGTCTCCCGCCTGTCCACAGTCAGTGCCGGGGGTTTTTCCCGCTCGGTTTGCTGTCGCGCGTTCCCATGGTGTCTGGAAACGCCCTTGCAGACAGTGTGTGCTTTATTAATTCCTAGGTTGTCTCTCATTCCAGTCAAATTGACCATCCAGATCAGCCATCACCGCTGGTGAAATGGGAACTCTTCAACTTCCAGTACCCAAAGCTCCTCGACCCGGGACAGATCTTGGATGTGCCATGGTTGCTCTTCTCTTTTCTCAACCCTTCCTTAAGTGACGAGGCCTCGGCCGTCATTAGCGAGGCTGACACATTCCCGTTGCCCAGTCTCACCTGTGGAGAACACTGCCATTGCTCTGCTTTTACACTTAAACTCTAAAGGGCCATGCGAGTGTCCTTGTTTCCAAATTCTTAAAGAAATGCCAACCAGGTGTTCAAAACGAAAGTTGGTACTTAGTTACTTACTTTTTTTTTTTTTTTTTTTTTTTTGCCAACCTGAAGTCAACCTGAACGCAAAGCTAGAAAGAATGAGCAGGGTGGTCATCATCAGGGAGGAGGGGGGACAGAGGAGACCCAAGGCAGTAAAGACTCCTGTGGACTGAAAATCTGCTCACCCACTCAATCCACAGAGCATCAATCCATACACGTGCCTGATGAGATTAAAAGCACAAATGAATGATATCAACTTGCCTGAAATAACAAAGGAGATGTCCTCACCTCTTGTGAAAATCTAAAACTTTTCAGAGAAATGAAAAACTGAGTAGTTTTATGGTGCTTTGCCAAGTTCCTGCATGCCGAACATTTCCTTCCTTCTTGGCCTCCTCACCGAATTGGCCTTTCTTTTCCCCTCTCCACCTGTTACAGTGCAGGAGATATTTCCCCTTCTGCCGGTTCTGCTGCCCTCCTGTCTTCTGGGATCGCGCTCCACCTGCAACCCCTCTCTTTCTTGAAACTTCAGTCTCCCTCCTCCTAGGATCTTTTCTTCAACAGTAAATCACATGCTAGTAAAAACATTCTGTAGTCTGTCATCCAACAACAACAAAAAACGCCCTCTCCTGACTCCCTCCAGCTGTTGTGCTGTTGTGATCTCTCTATCTCTGACTCTGATAAGTGTGTTATATATAATCTTTTCTAAAAAATCCTCATGAGGGATCTCATTTTCAGCCTATTTTAATGAATCACCTACTCCCACTACTCTTCTAGAACAACTCTTACATGGTGCCGTCTGTTGGGTGATTCTTTTTTTTTTTAATTGATTTTATTTTTTAACTACATGACAGCAGAATGCATTACAATACTTATTACACATATAGAACACAATTTTTCATATCTCTGATTGTATATAAAGTATGTTCATACCAATTCATATCTTCATACATGTACTTTGTATAATGATGTCCATCACATTTCACATCATTGCTGACCCCCTGCCCCTTCCTTTCCCCTCCCACCCCTCTTCCCTATCTAGAGTTCTCTATTCTTCCCATGCTCCCCCTCCCTACCCCATTATGGGTCAGCCTCCTTATATCAGAGGTAACATTCAGCATTTGGTTTTGGGGGATTGGCTAACTTTACTTAGCATTATCTTCTCCAACTCCATCCATTTACTTGCAAATGCCATGATTTTATTCTCTTTTATTGCTGAGTAATATTCCATTGTGTATATATGCCACATTTTTTTATCCATTCATCTACTGAAGGGCATCTAGGTTGGCTCCACGGTTTAGCTATTGTGAATTGTGCTACTATAAACATTGATGTGGCTGTGTCCCTGTAGTATGCTGTTTTTAAGTCCTTTGGGTATAGACGGAGGAGAGGAATAGCTGAGTAACTTTCATCTTACTTCACCTTTGGTACCATTCGGCACAGTTGCTCTCTGTTCTTCTTGGAACACTCTTCTCACAGCTTTTGGGATACCTGGTCTACCTCATACTTCCCTAATAATCACTTCTCAGTTTCCTCTGATGACTCTTCCTCCTCTGATTAATGCATCAGTGGGGGCTCTATCCTTGACCCTACTCTCTTGGCATGCTCCATTTTCAACATAGGTGTTCTTACTCCTTTCCAGGGCTTTAAAGAACTTCTGTGTGCTAAGCATTTACACATCCTACTTCCAGAATTTATGGACTACAAACACCAATTTGACATTTCCACTTAGAAATCAAACCAAACCTGTCCAAAACTGAATTACTGATCTATCCCTAACCAACCTGCCCCATGTCTATAAGTGACAGGTCCATTCATCCAGTTGCTCATTCTAGGACCTGGGAGCCATGCTAGCCAATCTAGTCCTTGTCTACTACTACTCCAGCCTCCCCTCATCACCCTCCACCTCACACTGTGCCCAGTCACACTGGGTTTCCTTCAGACTCTTGAACATATGAATTCTTTCTCGGAACCTTTGTTCTGCTGTTCCTTCAACCTTGTTTGCTGCTAAACTTATCTACCTCCAAAATAATGATCCTCCACTATCATATTAAATGTCTCCTCATCAAAGAAAATCCTCTTTGCCTCCAATTTATGAAACCCTGGCCAGATGCAATGATGTACCTCTATAATCCCAGAGGCCCATGAAGCTGAGGTGGAAGGATCACAAGTTCAAGGTAGCAATGTCCTTCCTCAAAATAAAAAATAAAAGGGGTTGGGTATAAAAACAAAAACAAACAAAAAAAACAACTCTGCTTTCTCAATACACCATACATATTTCCTTCAAGAGGATGTCTGTTATTAGTCTATAGTAGGAACTCAATAGTATTTGTTGAATGAACACACACATTATATAAAAAGACTTTTCAAATGCTGAGGAGCAACAAACACTAAACATTTTATAAACATGAATAATTCCAGATTGGATTCCACATTCCCAAATGTACCACTGAAGTGATTATAGAATTATGATCTGGGAACAATGAAATAATCCCATTGTGGTTTCAAAAGATGTCAACATGCACATGTTTAAAGTCATTGCTATACTGTAGCAACACATGCATGCCCATGTTTACAGCAGTCTGAGTCATAAGTAGCCAAATTATGGAACCAGCTTAGGTATCCATCCACTGATGAATGGCTAAAGAAAATGTGCTCCATAAACAATGGAGTTTTTATTCAGCTGTAAAAAAAAAAAATGTCATTCACAGGAAAATGAGTAGAATTTGAAAGCATTACATTAAACGAAATAAGACTTAGAAAGTCAAGGGTCCTCTCATATGTAGAAGTTAGAAAGAAGAAAAAAGGGAAGCTGTCTTATGAAAATAGAATGGAGAACAGTGGTGTAGAAGAAGAAGAAGGGAGCAGGGGAGGGAAAGGATAGGTACTAGGGAATTAAATTGGTCAAATTATGTGCATGTATGAATATGTAACAACAAATCCCACTATTATGTATAATTATTATGCATCGATAAAAAAGAGACAATGTTTAAAAAAAAGTCATTGCTAACTATGTTGTGTGATGAAGTACACATAGGAGCAGGGAATTGGGGATGAGATTGAATAATAACTTTGTACTCCCAGGGTTCCCATGCCCCTGGTATCAGTTTTCAGATTTCTCTGATAGCAATGTACCTGCCTACTTTTATTTTTCTTGCTGAGAGCAGAATCTAACCTTTTACTTTTATAATCTTGATATGTTTAGCTCATTTCTCTCATTTGCAGTCCAATCAATAAAATTTATGGTCCTTGCCACTGGGTTCCCTCAAGGGACTTAGACTGGTTTGCAGTAAACCATATACACCCAAGCTATATGGTGGGCCATCACTAAAAGGTGAATGATGGTCATTTCCAGGGATATAGGTGAGACCTCAGGAAACTTCAGTTTATGTATTGTTTTAATGTTTCCAAGGAGGATGTATTACCCATAAAATCAACATAAATAAAGCAATTTTCTATATAGAGAAAAAAACACAGCATATGCACAGGAAATTATTAACTTACAGGAAAGTTGGCATCTGATCTGTCATAACAGTGACCTGGCAAACGTTTTGACCTATGTTTACAAGGACAGCAGTCAAGAATAGCTGAATGGCTAGAATCTGGATTTTTTTTTTACCCTTGTCCTGTTCCAGAGCAAGGCCCTAAAGAGAAGCTTCAGTATCTCAAAACTGGGTTCTACAGACTCGTGTATTTAGGGTCTTGAGGGTTAGGGAGAGCTAAATGACTCAGTGGGCACAGTAGACACAGCTATTCACACAATGAGTTCCAATGTCTGGAGAAAAAAAAAAACTAAGAAGGACACAGTTTGGGGACACACTCACTTTGTATCCTGAGATTCCTAGCTATTTCTGAGTAGTCTATGATTTAAAGGACACACTGCCTAAGAACTTTTATCATTTTTTTAAACAAATGGATAGCTGGTTTAGCTTGACCCAAGGATTAACTCTACTTAGGTGAAGATGTCCAAACCACTTGTGTCTCTATTTTGGCATTAATCTAATAGGAAGGTAGAGAGGATGAGGTACAATTTGGCTAGACATCAGTGTAAAGGATTTCTCTAAAGGGTGCAGAAATGGGAATCTGAGCTCAAGGATTCTAGAAAACTAAGGTGGTTCCCCACCAGAGAGATTGCAAGAGCTGCCATATTGCACACTGCCCAATGGAGAGGCCTATGTGGCATGAAACTGAGACTCTGAAAATTACTGCATGAGTGAGTCCAGAAGCAGATCCTCCCCAGCCAGATGAGATGATTGCAAGCCCTGACTGACGCGTGGCTGCAGCCTATGAGACACCCTAAGCCAGAGGACACAGCCAGATACCCAACCCACAGAAATTATAAGATTTAAAAATGTAATTTTTTTATTATTTGAAGCAACTGATTTGGGGGATAATTTGTTACACAGCAATAAAAAACTACCACAAAAGCACAGTGATCTATCCAGTATAAGGTAAAAAAAAAATAGCTTCCAACATTCCTCAAGACTTTATCTCCATTGCTCTACTTTTTCTTAGAAATAAGAAAATAAATACGTGCAATCAGGAAAATAAGGAAAGCAAAGTGAAAAAAAGAGAGAATTCCTAAGATTTTTTTTTTAATTAAAAAGTTGGGGAAGGGCAATGCCAGATCATCAGTCAGCAAGAAGCAACGCACTCAGGCTGGAACACAAAATTTAAGAGATCCAGGAAGGACATCTTCAAGGAAATGAAGATGACCTTAAGGAACAACCTAATATTTCTTAAATAAATTGAAAAGAAAAGTACCCCTCTGGTGAACATTTGGGGGTATGTTGGCAACATATAAAGAAAAGTAAAGGAAGAAAGAAAGAAAAAGAGACTACTGTCAAGAAAAAAATATAATTCAAAAAAGAAAATATAATAATAGTATATGGCTTGATGCATGAGTTTGCTAGGGCTATAGAAAAAAAGAACCACAAACCCAGTGGTTTAG